CGAGAGTATACAATTACGAAGCAAATTGTAATCTCAAAAACAACCGTCACGTTTTTCTTAATATTATCTTATTTCGCATTGATTTTCAATCTAAATAGCTTCTAGTAATTCTAAAAACAGATTGTTATTATGATGCAATCATTAATAAAAATAGGAGAGATGTTATAAATTATCGGGGAATTTCGAACCTTCTTATATAGCCGATTACTTCATGATGGCAATATTACATAGACATACACAACAACAAAACTGTGATTCAGAAAAAAGCAGTTACTACAACCGAGTCTATTTTGTTTTGTCTAAATAACTCAAATAAGAAACAGAAGTGTATGACCATTCAGTCTAATAGAAATGTAATTAAGTAAAACACCGAGTACTGTTGAATTTCCTATGACTTTGTGACTGATGTCAACTTGTGGTAGCTATATATTGATGAAAAACAGAATTTAAAAGTTGTGCCCCAAATAACGCGTCTCTATACAAACAATCTATACTGGGGCATTCGAAATAAACTAAGTGTTGTGTAGTGAATATCCGTATTAAGAAACAAACAAATAAAAAAATAATAGAGTAAAAGTTTTTTCTAAAACACAATCAGGGTGGACTTTTAATTATAAGTACTCTATATCGTGCATACTTCTACTCTGTATGAAATCGATAAGAACGTTATTATTACCAGGCAAATACACATTATATTTATACCAAGCTAATATATATGTATATAATTGTCTGTAAAATGAGATAGTATTACTATGAGAAACCATACTACTAAGAAAAAAACTTGATCCAAATATATATTAGTGAGATAAATCTACAAAATATTCAATATAATCTACTCAATCAAATACACGTTCGTGCACTCGGCTTTGAGTTACAATTCCAATTAGATTTGGAGACACTGTCTAGTTGTCTAAACCAAACTAAATGAGATGAGCCTGCAGTTTATAACCTATTGGTAGAGGGGTAAGTATTTAAAAAGTCACTGACAGAAAAATGCATTGACATCTGTTGGGATATTCAGGAAAATATCCCAAAAATTATCCTGTTAAGCCTAATGCTATCCTTGGACATGAAATGGTATCATCTTATTGGTCAATATTTATTTAACGTGTCATTTTCCTACTGGCCATTATTGTACAATGTTATTTTCTATTTTATGGTACGTTGTGGTCCGCTTGACTGGTATATAAACAAAGTATGTTTGAAATATAATGATTCATATATCCGAGGCTGAAACTTTCGGTCTGGACTCAATTGGCTGGGCTATACAGGGAAGCAGGACCAATCAGAACCTTAGGTCGTTCTACGTGTTTGCGCGTCTTTGGTCCGATCAATAATTCGCTACCCTTAATCAGCATTATTTTTCACAGTTATAACACATCAGTCAACTAAAGACAAGAACAAGCTAAAACCTAAAATCTAAAAAGTTCATAAATATGGTAATCAAAAGTGCTCTATGGTCGACCAATTAATACATATTTAAATAGAGGTAGGTTATCACGAAGTCATCAAAAAAGTAAGCGTGCAACGCTACAGATGTACCTTCTTTGAAATACGGTAATATTAGGTTGAAATTGTGACACCAGTTATTATGTGGTAACCAATTATCTCACTAACGGCTCATCTATGTCAATCAAGGCTCTAGTGCATTAAAATAAAAAAACCGAATATATACACAGCAGAAGTAAGGAATTACCAATGATAAGGTACTTTGTTATGTAAAATTTAATGGATAACTAAATATATGTAAACATGTTAACAATATTTAAGACAAGCAAACAGACTACATTGATAATGAGTTAGACTAAGTACATAGTGACTATTTGACACTAACTGCAAATCTATAATACTTGGCATATCACCATTCAGAAAACTTTGTATGTTCATACTCTAATCATAATCAGGAGAGCACCTTGAATTTACCCTAACATATGCATGAAATAATCCTCTAAGAAATTTATCAATGAAAGCAGTTAACAACAGGAGAAAATTTCGTAGCCTTCAGTTTTGACAAAACAAATACAGAATGTAACACGTAACTTGAATGAAGCTATAACTCATTTATTAAGCGTAATTTTACGTGCTTAGATTTAAATTGCACTGTTATTAAGACAGTGTGGTCCAAACCTATAAGCTAACAGTTAAAACTCAATTGCTCTAAAAGTTGAAACACACTATATTGAAGTGAAATGCCACTCAATCTGTTTCATTCTCACTGATTTATTGCTAATAAAACTATTCATAGTATATCGATTAAAAACTTTTATGAAATCTAAGAATAGTTTTATAATAGTGAAGTCTATTACAAAATAGATGAGAACAAATGAAACATAAATTCCACTGAAGTATTTACCAGTCACAGTAACTTGAAAATTAGATTTCGTCCAGTACGATTTGTCTAATACTCCAACACCCGTCACCAATAGAGTATAAATCAAAAAATGAACACTGAAAGGCTTCAACAATTATTATTATTATCGACCATAAACATATTCTGTATTTGTAATATTTTGTTGCGTGACCCTAAATATGACGATCTAACAATATGACTGGCATAAAGTTAGAAATGAATTGTCGTATATGGTTTAAGTAATTTGAATTGATGATTTGAATAAACTTAATTTTTGGTAAGCGTGAACGGATTTTTCGCGGAAGAAGGTATTTTCTCAACAGTGTCTAAAATCCCAATTCGTTTAAAACGCTTACTACATATTACTCTACAATATCAGCTAAAATCTTCAACTATATATATCGACACGAACTAGAAAAAATCCAGTCACCTTATCTGCACAACTTAGATCACAGATGTCAGTTACCATGGATTGATGCTCTTCCCCCCATTACCAACAACAAACAACATATGACAATAAACAAGGATAGAGATGAAGTCGGGCTTTGTCATTAGAACATTTGATTAAAAACGATGTACAACTTCATCTGTGACCATCTTGCTAACAATAAATTATGTTACAAAACAATTACAGAGTTAAGAATAATACAAACAAAAAAGTCTCAAAAGTAATTAAAACCAAGGTACCCATTAAAAGATCAGAAAGGAGACAAACTTGAATTAAATGTAAACACAACGTATAAAATTACGAAGAGGACAGATTATTCATCTTTATAGAAAATATAGACAAAACTAATGAAAACGAAAGTGTTGACGGTAATGATTTACTTTATTCCAAAATAGATCTAAATCATGGTAAGTTCATTAGAACTATGTCCTAATGAATGGCAGGAAAGAAATAGTATCAATTAAATTTAGCCTAATGATTCATTGTTTAGTTTACTTTCTTATGTCCGTAAACAATATTTATTTACATATTATGAGCATATGCCTAGTAATTGGGTTGTGAATAGACATGATCATATATATATATATATATATATGATTTTGCTCTTCCATTGATCATTTTTTAATTTTATCGAAACCTTCCTGTTAAGCCGTGAATTAGCCCTATATTATTCAGTCGCACTGGCATCAATTAGTCGGTTAATGATAAGTAACATGAGAACTGATATATATATGCATCAATCCAAGTTGTCGTATTACATATTAGCAGTGAGATGAAATTTACAAGTAGGAATTAGAGTAATATCAGTAGTACCAGTGAGGAGATGGCTAAGTGGTCAAGACGTCGCACTTTCACCTACTAGGTCTGAAGTTTAAAACCTACTTCACTCTTGCATGTGCAACCCAATAGTATCACTAGCTCTAACACTTAGAGTGTGGCTCAAAGTCAAGTACACGAATCTGTACCTGGTAATTGAGTTAATGAAAAAATCAGTGATAGAAAAATCAGGATATGAAATAGAGAATATAGTTTGAGAAAGAATTTAAGGGCAACAAAGAGTAAGTGTCTGTTAGTGCGACTGATTTCGAGTCATGCCACACAATAACTTCGACGATTGATCACAATTATCGAGCGAACTCCTATTAAGTAATCTGCTCCTAACAACGACTCTCATACCAATAGACAGTAACTTCATGAACCGATATTATTGAAAAAAACCTTTTATGCATTAAAAAGTGATTTATGCTTCCCCTTTACATATCTTGCACTCATAATAAGCTATATTTTATCTAGATGCATGCATAAACGAGTGTTATGGATGAGATCACCAGAATTTCTGATAAATTTAAGGTTGAAGTTCGTTACATTACTACAACAATAGTAAAAATATTTAATACAAGAGGCATTTGACAACCCAGACCAATTACATGAGCCATATACTTCGTGATTGTTGTCTCGTGATAATAATCAACGTTACTAAGGTAGATGGAGTGAACTTTGAACACGCAACCTAGCAATCAGAAGTGATATAATCGCTGAACTAAGATTAATGCCCCCAAATGACCTGGTACGGCCGAGAGTGGGGAGAGTCCTCTCTCCCTCTCGAAATGCTCTCACACGGCCAAGCGCATAAAGCCTCTGCCAGGGAAGTCCTACTCACTGCCTTCTCATGGCGGGAGTGTTATTTACAAAAATGAGAGGACGAAAAGCGAATGTCCAGCGCTTTAACCGGATCCCAAACTGATGGCGCACATGGGCTCCAGTATCCTGCGGGAACAAATGGCGTATGAACCCATTTTTGGTCACCGGCTACCATGGGACTGCATCTCCTTACGATGCTTCACTGCCTTGTGGGTCAGACCTCTAGGTCAAAGGCTCGGGGAGTGGCCCCCTAAGAAAACCACCTGCTTCAGTTTGGGCACCCAGGCAGTACCACAGCCCTCACACATATCGAATAAGATTTGTGTGGCGCATATGTATTTGGTGCCTTTTTGTACCAATATCTATGCGTTAAAATAAATAAATAATAAATAACATGAAGAATACCTATTCCAGAATATTTTAGACAACATGAATTAGGTAGACTTCCCTAAAGGTTTAAAACTATAATCATTTAAGGATTATTACTATTATACATATTAATATATATTACAAATACAAAATGTTAACTTCAGACGTAAAAGTAAAATTTTCGGAACTTACGCATACGGAGCCACGAGAACCAGATGCCAGATTTGGCAATGACTGTTGTAAAACAAGTAGAAAAATTTTAAACAAATCAATACCCTGTAACACTGTAAATGTTAAATTGACTAGTTTTTTTGTCGATTACCTTTAACTATCTCATGTATTCATTTCTTAATCCCTAAGTAGGTTAAAGCTCTCCAATAATCGGAGCGGTGGCTTAATCGTTAAGACATTCGAATCGCACATATTCGAGTCGTGCTCCAATTTAGGCTGGACAATCGGATAACACCACTAGCCTTCACACAGCGTGGCTCATGCCCAAGTACCTAGTGAATGATTTAATAAATATTTTCAAAAAAAATCTAAAAATGGCCTCCAATCCACACGTGCTCTTTAGATTTATTATAATTTAGTCTGCATCATATAATACTAAGAGGATTCAACCCTTATGATGTATACAATATTCCACGTAAATCGATTATTAAATGTTTAAAAATAATAATAATACCCAGAGATCTTTAGAACCTAAATGAAGAGTAATCGAAACATGGAGAAAATTCTGTCGGTTATGTTGTGTTATGTACACTCCTGCGTGGTTGTTCCTAAGTAGTTAAAGGCAAAACTGAGAGTTCATAGGAAAAGTAACAGTTGGAGAGTACAGTACAACGAGGAACTCAGAAATTAAAGCGGTGACTTTACTCCATAGCCATTAAACCCTACATCAATCATTACAGTTATCCTAACTTAGTTAAGTGTATAAAATGGTAGATAGAGTATTTGGTTGAACATTAAAGTACGATATTAAGAGGATCTGAATCTTGTAGCATTTGAAGTAACTAGGAAACCATATCAAGTTTGCGTGCACAACTATTAAACGAGTTTTGTGTAGACCCCAAGGGGTTGACGGTATTCTGGTTTTAAATTTGAAGGTCTAGATTATCTAACCACAGTCCTAACTTGTGGTAACTTGTTAGTAAAACATTTACCCCAATACTGAAGCCAAATTTCTCAAAACATTACAGCGTACCTAGAGTAACTGTTACAACTGATTTGATTAGACTTAATGAATAAGAAATTTTAGCCACAGCATATTTGTTTTTTTAGGGTTATGCCATAAAATACTTATTTGACATTTAGATGAACTCAACAAAAATTCCCATGTTGGCCCAGTACGGGAGTTGATTTTTAATTTATTGAGCTGCAGTTATCAAACATGACAATAATGAACATTATTCAATAAAATAGTGAATGATGGCAATAATGGTAATAATTGCTATAACTTACATTTTTTATATCATCTCTAAAATTATAACCTAATGAAACAAGACAAGCCTTAAATTCATTTGGCTCTAAACGTCCAGTATTATTTTTATCAAAATGTTTGAAACAAGTACGCAGATCATTCATTTGTTCAGCTGTTAATCCTCTGGAATCTCTTGTTAATATCTGATTGTCTATTTCATTGACAGAGTAGTGTAATAAAGTGAACAATTGTTCCCATGCAACGCGCAGTGTTGGCATTGAGTAAACAGTATATGGATTTTCAAATATATATACATCTTCTAATGCCTAGGTAATAAGAAAAAAAGAAAAAAGAAAATGAAATCAAAGTATTATTTAAATCAATGACGATATTAAATATTGTCACATCATTGGAGTTTGGCTAGTGGCTAGCGATGGAGATCGAGAACGCATGTCTTTTTCCTCTTTTGAGATTCGCCACAGTTGAGTTTAAAAACCTGAATCTCAGTATTCATATTCACACTGATATTCGATGGATTGTAATATTTGACATCAAAAAACTCGAAAATACGCTCTGCAAATATTGTTACACTGAGATTACTATCAGGTACTTAAAATTATTACTAGTCATTCATAACCCGTTATATACACAGACAAAAACAGGAGATCAACTTCTAATTAAAGCTAAAAAAATTAGGCGAATTCACTTTACGTTTTCAAAAGAAACATTCTCTAAAAAGAAAAGGGATATTCACATAGAGGATTTTGCAAAAAATTATATACGTTCAAGATATCACTTTTTTTTCTAACTCAACCCTGATATTCAATACTGACTTATTCAAGATTTAGTCAAAGATAAGTAGAAAAACTACTAGTTAGCAGATTAATTTATTATTTAGAACTTAACTCGTCATCAAGTGAAGGACGCGTAATCAACTAGAATTATCAATTGATGAAAGTCTGAAACAGAATAAGATTTTAACTTAAGTTTTAAAGGTTTCCCTATAAGTAAGAGAAAGTACAGTTTAACGTTCAGCTTAATAACTACAATGCATTCATCTCATGGCGAATTCAAAAAAACTCAGAAACTCGAAGGTAAAACTACAAAGCCAATATAACAACTGGCATATATTAATAACTAAATCAAACTATATTGGGTGGGACATATTCTTTATGTCCTACAATGTCATAAAGGTCGGCTGAAGAACAGTAAAACGGAAGTAAGCAACTAAAGGTCCGACGGTAGTATTAAACTGGTGACCGTGTAGAATTGTAACGGCAGTAAGGCGTTCTCCCCAGATAACGAGCATCTACACCAATGCTGATTTCTCACGATGGAAGTAGTAGCTGAAAAAAAGTCAACCCCGAAAATATCATACATTCCCTTACCCCATGGATTGGTGTCTCCAGAAGTAGGTCCTTTTGAAGTGTGCAGCTGATACATCAAAACGTTTCTACAAAAAGGCCGTTTATGACCAACCTTAAAGAGTTGTCCTTTTAAGCCTGTATTCAGGTCTTTCAGTTTCCAACTTACCTACGCCTGTTACCCCTCATAGAGAAGCATAAGTCACTCACCAGCATTCTCCATCCAACTCTGTCCTGCACAATCCTTTCCAGTTGCTATTCACTCTTTTGATGTCTGCTCCAATTCCAGTGGCATTGTATTCCTTTGTCTTCCACTTTTCAATTTCCCTTTAGGATTCCAAGTCAGCGCTTGGCCTCGTGATGTAGTTTGTTGATCTCCATGATGCATATCCTATCCAATCCTAACGTCCTTTCCTAATTTACTCTTCAGTTGGTAGTTTGTTTTATCCTGAAGCAGGCTGTTGCTGATTGTATTTGAACAACGGAAATTGAATACCTTGTGTAGACAATTGTTTATAAATACTTGTACATTTTTGATTATGGTTGTGGTAGTTCTCCAAGTTTCAGCCTCATACAGTAGAACTGTTTTAACGTTCGTACTGGAGATTCTGACTTTGATATTGGTTGACAGTTGTTTTGCGTTCCATTGTTCTTCAACTGTAGGAATGCTGTTCTTGCTTTACCAATTCTCACCTTTACGTTTTCGCTCAGTAATGATGCTGTCCAGGTATTTGGAATTTTCCACCTCTTCTAGAGTTTTTTCATCAAGTGTGACTGTATGAGCGTTCTGTATTATAGTTTAGGATGTTGCTTTTTCCCTTGTGTCTGTGGAGGCCTACTGCTGCAGAGGTTGCTGCTACACTGGTTGTATTTACCTGCACTTGTTTGTGTGTATGAGATAGAAGCGCAGGTTATCTGCGCAGTCCAATTCGTCTAGTTGCATCCATTGTATCCCGTACTTCCCCTGAGATGTGGAGATCTCCATAACCCAGACAACCTACAAGATCATCACTAATCTAGTTTCCTTTGCAGATAAATACACTAATAGATAAAAGAGAAAAATAATGTTTGGGTCAACTGACCTGATTAACGTGTTCTAATTCATTCAACTTATCCTGATGCCTATTTAATTCTTCTTCCAATTTCTGTAAATTATTTCGTTGATCCTCTAGTGAACTATGTGATTCCATGCTAACTTTAACAATTTCCGTACGATGAGTTTCAATAGATGAATTGAATGCTTCGGCTTTCTGTGCAAATTCGCGTCGTAATTTCTCATTTGCTAGTTGACGTTCACGTTCCCTATGTAATAATGCACTTCTTTTCTGTGTTAATTCACGAATCATATTCCAACGCTGTGGAAGCTCCTACAAATTAGAAAAAATAAGCAAAGTAAATTAACCTCTTTAAAAGCTAGTAGATCTTTCAGTACAATCTACAGCAAACATAGTTGTTGATGACTTACACTAAATCAGACTGATTTCTCATACAGATCACGAAATGTAATGTAGACGTTATGAAATAGATCAGTTAAGGAGCCTTATTTTAACGTTATTATTTGGCAAGTCAAACTAAATAACAATTTACCAAGATTTAGTAAACAGAGGAGTATTAAGTAGTACACTAGGCAGCTATAGCGAAACTTAGATTTTTAACTGGTTCCCATCATAACTGAGAATAAGAGAACATAAAATAACTATAAATATTTTACTTCAAAATCCTAGGACTTATCATGTTAGTGAGATGTTGAAATGTCTAGTCGATTATACAAAATAACAGTGAACTTTAGTATTTAATTTAGTGTTTACATTCGGTCAATGAAATTAAAGTCATGAAACTACAGAAATAAAACAACAGCTATTTTCGAATTGTCAGTATCAGATAAAACTACAAAATGCGTTATGCTTGATCAATAGTGCATTTACTAATCAAGATATACACCAATCAAAAAATGAATATTGTGAAGCAATGTATACAAGGAAGTAATGCTCGGTATGTAAACCACTGGAATTATTTTCGTAAAACTCGTGTAAGTCACTGAAATATCGAATAACGATCTTCAATATCAGTACCAGTACATTAGTATCAGCTATGATAATAATCAATTTTTTTCAATCAAAAGTCAGAACTCATATTGTAACGTGACTGAAAGCACAGTGGCAGCCAACAGGAGGGTTTAGTCACTTCTTATCTCGGTCCACATAATCGTAATTTTAGGGATTTTTATGCCATGATTTAATGATATTCCAACTCGTTGATCATTTCCCTTTTACTGTGTTGTTAAAATACTCGACACTTGTGTTCAGATTTCAAACTGTAGAGGAATCATAAGCATATAAAAAAAAAACTTTCGTGGTACAAGCTATGGGATTATTATTTATTTTAACACATAGATATTGGTACAAGAAAGCACCAAATACATATGCGCCACACAAATCTTATTCGATATGTGCGAGGGCTGTGATACTGCCTGGGTGCCCAAACTGAAGCAGGTGGTTTTCTTAGGGGGCCACTCCCCGAGCCTTTGACCTAGAGGTCTGACCCACAAGGCAGTGAAGCATCGTAAGGAGATGCAGTCCCATGGTAGCCGGTGACCAAAAATGGGTTCATACGCCATTTGTTCCCGCAGGATACTGGAGCCCATGTGCGCCATCAGTTTGGGATCCGGTTAAAGCGCCGGACATTCGCTTTTCGTCCTCTCATTTTTGTAAATAACACTCCCGCCATGAGAAGGCAGTGAGTAGGACTTCCCTGGCAGAGGCTATATACGCGTGGCCATGTGAGAGCATTTCGAGAGGGAGAGAGGACTCTCCCCACTCTCGGCCGTACCAGGGCATTTGGGGGCATGGCCCCTGCGCAAGGATGGGATTATTAGGCAAAGAAAACAATTTTTCAGCTGTAACTAAAAACATAATCATTGTATCTCAAAAGGAGGTTTCAAATTACGATGAAAAAATGCAGTGTTTTCCAATCGTTTAATCCGAAAATTTAAATTTATTTGCAAATTACGACAAATTTCAAATTAAGAAACTTACATGAGGTTCAATATTTGTATAAGGATTTTGAGTTGCATTCACCAGTTTATATTCACTAGCTATTTCTTCAACCTTTTGTGCACACAACTGGAGTTGACGACTTTCGTTCTCAGCTTCATCTAAGGTATTTTCAAATGTTTGATGGGCTGCAATTAATCTCTGCAGGATTTCAGAAAAAACAGGAAAGTGTTAAAAACAACAAAACAAGTAAGCACACGATAAAACTTGTAGTAAATGCTATTAATCGATTCTAGTCCAGTGAATTTGGTTGAAATTTGAATGCCCGAACCAATGGATTAGAACTTTACTGAATCAATATTACATACAACATTGATAATTATGGTTACATGTAAAAACTTTTCTCTTTCTTACTCCTCTTTGTGAATAAGTTACAATAATTTTACCTCAACTTCAGGCATTGTATGAACAATGAATGTATCTCGTAAATCCTCTTCTGTTTGTTCCATCCAATTGTTAAATGGCTAAAATAAACGACAAACAATTGTAGCAGTTAATAAAAAATTTTAGGAATTGTAGAGGATTTGTCCATAAAATTTTAAAAATATGAGAAATAATTTAGTAAACTCGGTCAATCAATCTATTAATAAAGATTATTGTTTGTGCAATCTTTGAGTAGTGTATGGAAAAACTTAACTATAAAAACACATTGAGATCATAGGTTTAAAACAGAAATTTATATGATTTTGTAGACCAATTGTCGAACTAAATTCCTACTTTCCAAAATGCTAGTTGATAAACATATATCATTTTGAACATCAATAGTTAACAAAGTTAGCACTTCACCTTTAAGCATAAAAGTGATACATAGTTACGGATGTGTAATGACCCAGTTTAGAAGTTTAAAACCTGTATTTACCTCATTATCAATTTAGCTACCAATCCTATTACTCTTATTGCTATTGGTATCCCATATTAGAATTATACCAGCTAACTCATTTTTCAATTCAACTCACTATTTGTGAGAAATTAGCGTCTGTGCTTTTTTTTGGCTACAAATAGTACAATAATTGGCATACAAAAAGAATGTACTTAAGTATTAAACCATTTGAAGAATATGTTTACACGAACACAAAATCATTTAAAAAACATTTGGCTAACAAAGCATTTTTACTTACTGCAGCTCGTTTCGCGAAATCGAGGTGAAGCTGGTCGATTTCTTCCAGAGCTGTCAAAGCTTTCTGTTAACCAAAAACGACAAACACAAATAAAATCGGAAGTAATGAGTAAAACTAAAAATAGTGTATTTATACAATTGCTTACAAATGGAATATGGAGTTAGTAAATGACCATCTGGATTATGAGTTTTATACGCAAAATGAGTTTACGTTCAATTCGTAAAAGCACTTTCTCCATTGAATGAAAGTTATTCGATCTGATTTGGATCCCTTACACAGTAAACCAACTAATAAACATTCAAGTTTAAAAACTAACTGTCTCATTATAAGAATGACAGGTATATTCATTAGCGAGAAATATGAAAGAATCATTTGAAATAATATCTTTAAAATATCAAAGCAATATACACCTAACTCACAGATATTTCTCGTTCTCTTTGAGAGGACAACTTTTTCATTTCATCCCATGTGGTTATAATGGTGTTGTAACGTTGATTGAAAGCATTTATGTTAAAATGATTCAGTTTACTGAAAGGTAAAATAATATTATTGGTACAAAACGTAAAAACTTTTTTCAGCATAAAAATGATTACCAGCTTGGTAAAAAATGAGTGGTTACAACTAATAGTTAATTTTATAGCTATATGAACAGATAAAGCAACCGCTACTCTTGTTGAGTAAATATGTTTTTGAGTTTCAAGGACTGCTTCGTGAATTTTAACTCTAGAGTATAATAGCCTACATGGTCAGGAACAGTGCTTTTTTGGGACGACTTGCACAATCATATTTCTTCCAGGAAAGAGCGTCTCACGAGATTCCTTAGGAATGTTCCGGATGACATTGCGCTCAGAATATTGTATATTAGACGGTATTCTTACGTCTCCTTCCTATTTCAGCGAATGACTAGCCAGCAGAACATCCTTTCCGTCAGCAGTGTGAGTGAACGTTGCTCGTAGGAGCTTTGGACGATTCTAGTGCTTGGAATCCTGCCCTCGGAGTAAGCCGTTTAACCGTCAGCGGCTCGATTCAGGGAAATTTGAGCTTCCTGTTTAACTCATACCAGAGCAACCTGTTATTTTTGTCCTGCAGACTGAAAGGAAGGTCAGAGCTGTCTTTAAAGTTCATAGTGATGAGATAATTATCTTGAACCGTGATCGTTTTCCCAGGTTCTCGGGTACGTTGGAGTCGGCGTTTCGGATTCCCGTGCTCTTTGCGGACTAGTTGGACAATCATATAGGTAGGTTACACAGCCACTTCACGAGATGGTTTTCCTGCAAGACCTAAGCTGTTCAACATATTGACGGAGACACTCGATCTTTTTTAACTGTGTTGACGGGATCCAGTTGTCTACAAAATTTTTTGGGACCACAGTTGCATTTAGGGAGCCTGTACTGGGGGACACAATTTTGCTGATAGAGTTTAGCACAGCCGATATGATGATGGTGCTGAATTTCAACATATCCTCACTCGTGTCGATGCGTGTTCCATAGATACTAATAATGTTGAAGACCCTCTTCTTTACTTTACTGAGCGTCTTTGTTTATTCAATTCAGGATTGCCTTTTTTCAGGGTTGCTTACAATTTTTCCCAGACATTTCAAGAGAATGATGATGTTGCTCAGCAAAATCTCAGCATTCATGAGGTATGTGCCACATATCCACCTGCGATCTGACTTAATAAGTTTGTTGTTAGCAATTACTATAAGATCTGTGCACACTTCGTGGAACCAACCTAAACATTTGTCATACTGCATAACAAGGATGTTAGTCAGCTACAATGTAGGACCAGACACATATGTGCATCGGTCCAAGTCGACACAGCTCATTAGCACAACAAAATGGACACCAAATTCATAGAACTAGTTACTTCAATAGCAGTAATATATAAAAGAAAGATTGTGTATAAGCATATAGTACAGGAAGAAAGAATTAGATTGTAGAAATAAAAGTCTAAAGCAATTTTAATCTCACGGTTTAATTGCAGACAAAGAGTGAATACAAAAACGCCATTGTGATCGATTATGTGCCATGTCACTCACAGTCTCCAACCATTGGTTACGATAGTCACGCGGACCACAACCAAGTAGTCTGCATCTACCGACATGGCTCAGAACAGAAGTTAGTGACTTCAACGACTGATGTGAATCGTACTGTTGACTGTACAGAGGTGGGACAACAGTAAGGTGTTACCTTCAAACAACCAGCATAACAGCGACGCTGCCTTCCCACAAGGAAGCGTAGGGCTAGAAAAGCTCGACCCTAAAAATACGCACCTTGCCTTATCCCACGGATATATGACTCGGGTGCTAAGGTTTCGACAAGTACTGAGCTAACAAGAAAATTATTTACAAAAAGTCATGTGTGACCGGCCTCAAGCAGTTGTCCCTTGAGTACTGCGGTCATGCTCACAGGCGAACAAAACCACCTATAACACAATTTCCTTCTCAGGTAGCTCCAGAAGAACCTTCCAACGGTGTGGGCAGCCGGGGAGTGATAACTGTCATCATACCTCTAACAATAATCAATATCACTGTATTTATACCTTGGATGACAGCAAAACGGCATACAGATTGCTTACATGAATTCTTGATGACCATGGCGAAATGTGAGTTAGATAGATCCTGGCAAAAGTTTGCGACCGTAAAAGAAAAAACAATACACTGAAAACGGGTAGAGAGGATAAAACCAGGTCTAAAAATTTAGGATATCTTAAAACCAGCCTCAAAGTGGAGAATTATAAAAACTGAATTGTAAGGTGAGACAAAACCACGGTTCACTATGAACTAGGGTAGAACTCAAAAAGAAATCTACCGAACGTTAAGCTTAAGACAGGTCGAACTCCCTTAACTGGAAGAACTCTATCCTGACCATATTTTTAACGAACTTTATTTTTTTACTAACTGCTATTCTTGTTCACTTGTTTATTGCTTGTATGACACTCCTTTCTCACAATACCACTTTATTTGTGCGATACATTTCTGGAAGCGAAATTTTAAAACGCCATAAATAAATTCGAATGAGGAATTCAGTATTTTCGTCCAAGTAAGAGCAAGAAAAAGCTTACTTAAGTTCTTCGGTAAGCGCCTGAATGTGCTCTATGCGAGCATGATGAGCAGTCATATCCGACTGAAAAGCCTCATGTTTCTTTTGAAATGCCCTCATTTCCGATAGCATAGCTGAGCGGAAGTCATTTGAAGCCAACGCTTCTGGTTTCCCATTAGTCCATGCCTCATGAGTGGAGCATTTCACCTCGAATTTCTTAGCCAGATATTCAAGACGCTCTAGCCTTTGTAGTTCTTCTAATAGCCATTCCTAGAAGTAAGAATATATAGGTTGTTTTGAACAGTAGAAACAAACAACATTGAATGAAAAATGCGGCTTGCACATATAAAGAGGAAACTAACGAGACGAAATTTAAGGGATTGAAGGATATATTAGTAGCATTGGGACACTAGACATGGAGAATATCATTTAAAAAGACCAGATGAACAGTAGGGCATATTACTCCACTTAAAAGCTGGGGTAGGTGGAAAAATAAGACAGAATTGTCATTTAAATTTCTTTGTAAGGATATGAACGACTTGATTCTCGAAGTCGTTTTGGTGATAAATATCCAAGACTGGCATCCAAAACATTCGGAATAAAATTTAAGAAAATGAGGCACTATATTTATCAAGTGACTCATTATGAATACATGAATACCCGTAGCACAAAGCCATTTAAACAGTGATAGAGAACTAGACACGTTAGTGATCATAACTATGGACAGATACAAAGAAACGTACTTTTTTTAATTATATTAGGCCAAGTCTTGCAACAACACCCCAGTTCGCTTACTTAATTACCACTACGTGTAACGATTCAGCAGACGCATAAAACAATTTCATAAATCATGAATTGGCAGTGATCAATATATTGTGATGTATATTGAGGTATGTTATCCAATGACAAATGACTACATAAAAAACTTGACAGAAATCCCAAACACTAACCTCATAGATTTTATCAGCCTGTTCTAAAGAACTCCAATTCCTAGCAACATCCGTTATCAAGCGTCCGTTGGCTGGTACGTAGGGAGACTTATTGTTTAATCGCAGACGAGTCTGGAGTGTATTGTAGGTTGTCTCTAAGCGAGCTTTTTCCTGTAACTTAGATGGTTTTTCTTGGCGGTAATACAATCTAAACTTCTGTTGTAGTCCTTCAACAGCGGAAACAGATGTTTGAGGATCACGTTGCTGAAATAGGATAAACGAGTGAAGGAACAGTAGAGCATAAACTGTAATAAGTATAGTCAACCGAATTACGAACTGGGAGTTCTTTACGAATCATAAATACTGTAACTTGTGGAGATAAAATGACAACTGTTCGGTGCAGATTAGAATAACGCAAACAAATCCAAAACTGTTTAAAGACTTTGGGAGAATACGACCTTCAAACGTTTAGATAGCTAGTCAGTGGGGTTTCTTACACACATACACTAACAGACCACCATTGGACGCAAATTATTTTGCACTTCCCTGTAAAATAACAATGCGAAATATGTGTTAAGCAAAGAAATATCGACTGGACAGTTGGAAGAAATGAATGCACTAAAATAAGAACACTGAAACTATATACAACTCAAATCCAACTCGTTGGAAAGGAGGAATGATGGTAAGACCGTGGAATGATTTTAAAATAATTACATGAACCAATCTACGTGGATAGGTGAGTACTAGTTATCAAAACTGCTTCAACACCAACAAACAGTTAAAGTACATGTTGAAACCCAGTTTGCTTAGTGATTGAAGAGCCTTATGGTAAATGTTTGACTATATTGTCAAATACGAGAAACTAAGGTAGCCTGAACTACAAAAGTCAGGGTCAGAAAATAATTTAACGTAACTTACTCCGAATTCTCGTAGCTTTATTTTTATCCAGTCTGAAAGGTTAGTCGAAATTGTTTCGTAGCATTCTTCTAGATTTTGATTTTCCCTAATCATCCGAAGATTATTAGCGATACGAGTAGCTGCGATGTCAGTCTGAAAAAATGATTAATGCAACAGGCAAAGTAAGTAGCATAAACCAGACGAGAAATACAGAATATCAAAGGCAGATGCACATGATTATGATAAATTAAAAAACCGAAACCCAAAAACTGACTAGTTGCGAACAAAGAAAAAAGCAAATTTACATTTATAAATCCAAGAAAACTACCTTGTGAGATCCTGAGAACACATGATAATATGAAGACAAATAAGCCATCACAGATTGCTCATCACAGTTCTTGCGGCTTGCCATATCTAAGAGTCATAAACATTAGACACATTTACTTTACCTTCTGGATCGAGCATTTTTGGAATGTCAAGGTGTTTTTCCGCTATTTCAAAAGCAAGATTTAGATTTTTGATGTGATCACCCTGGAAGAGTGGTATGAGATAAAAATATTGCACACCTTTTTGAGTTGAGAGTAATCAATTAGGTGAGGCCGGTTTCTATGTATTATAGCACAAAACGCTAGTCCATCCTTAAAACTGGAAAATCTTTAGTTTCATGTACATTAACAAACCTAGTGTGGAAATTCTCGACGCACACATTTTTGTACGGTGCAGTCTGTCTTTGACACCAAAGCAGCAAACCCTCCTTAGCAGATGAATCTGAATCAGAAAACGGTGAGGGATTAGGACGTTATACCTTCTATCTGGATATCCTGGATAGCAAAGCGAAGAATGATTGTCCATATCATCCCAAGAGTCATTTTTGGATTCCCGTCGACAATTTCTAGAAAGTGATAGACAGCTTTAAAATATTACCCTCAGCGCCGATAGACACCAGCTTGACGCCTTTGCTCTGGATAAAATCGAGAGCTTTGTTTACATTAGCAATTTTATGAAACCTCAGCATTCCCCTCTCAGGACCCGGTAATGATTCACCAGAGATAACTTCAAGTAATTTGATTAACATTACTCCATCGCGAAAATCATTTTCTATGACATTAATTTGTTTGTTAACATTTCTTAAGTGAGCATTGCACCACGCGGTAAAAGTCTACAGTCAAATATTTCACAAAATAAAAATGCTACTGTACCTTCTTTTGTTGTAATTCCCATGCTGTGTCTATGGGGACATCCTTATTCGATTCAACATCATCATCATCTACGTGCCCCTCGTAATCATATATAGCCATGTTAAACAGAGAGTCCTGAGACACAAATCAAAAACGTGCGTGACCCAGAGAACCGAGTAGTGTGAATATTGAAAATGTTATTTTACCTCACTTAAAAAGTCAATGTGAATCTTTTATGTTAAAGCAGTTAAGAGAACGTCGTCCTTTACATAACCGGAAGTATATCACTCCATAAAGCAATTTTATTAGTTACTATTAATTCGAGAAGTGTAAGTTTAAGCAAAACGTGTAGCGGCAAGCCTCGTTGCACAGAATAATGCAGTGGAAGTCCTTTCGGCTCATTCAGCATAAGGTCATTGTTAACAAATCTACATCAAGTACAATATTCCAATCAAATGACACCAGATATAGCTAACACGCCCATCAACTGACTTTGACCCAGATACATGAGCAGTGGCTGTTTCTTGGAACTTCAAAAGCTTCTTTTTGAACCATATGTCTAACAAACCAGTGGAAAAATGGTTTGATGAATAGACTGTGGTCGTCACCAAATGTCCTGAACGGTGTGAGCACACAGGGTAGGAAAATTTCTCCGAGAAATATTAGAAATGATCGGAATAAAGCCAAATATATGCAACGAACTTCAATTGGTCTAAAATAATAAACTTTGGGTCAACACAAACAGCGAATAGCCCTCCCTGGGCACAAGTTAAAAGACATTTTAGGGAGGCGAATCCCCTTGAGATGGGGCGATTACTGATCACGAAGGGAATATCTTCAACACTAATTTGCTATCGATCAACGAGCAGTACCGATTTCTGATTTACGTAAACCTCAGAAACAGGAACTAAGGTACCACTGTCGGGAGTGAGGACTGATACAAAACATTTGACCTTTTTGTTGGATTTGCAAGACGTTAGAACCCTGGAACCAGGATATTCGTCCGCTCATGATCATTATTTCAAGGCAGTAAGAGGATTAACGGCCAGTGAAAATCCACTAAAGCGTTACCAAACGACCATCAAGCCGAGTTTCTTTAGAATTACATAATAGATTATTGAGCGTCGGATCGTTTATCGAACATCATCAAGGTTGGGGATGACTTAGGTAGATCAGTCGGTCGCATCTCATGAACAGGCGCATGCAGCAGTGGTCTTTCTCTGTACTTCACTAACGTGTTCGTACTAGTGCACCCTGTTTTAGCAGTAGTACGATTTTTTCTATCCAGTCATCAAAGCAATCGGTTCGTCTGGTTATTACGTAGGACGATCCAGATTAATTATTAGGCCTGAGGTGTGCATTCGTGGTTAGCTAAGAGGTCATAACGTTCACGTCCTACCCGGTTTACCCACACCGGTGATTTGCAAAAATGTTCTGTGCAAGTTAATTTACAGTCTATTTACGAATTCATTAAATGTCTAACAGACTGCATATATTCAGTATGGAAAATTTTATTTATGGCGACTGACAAACTTTATTTTATTTCGGCACTTAAGGGCTTTATTTTACCGTATCAAATGAGCTCGTTCGACATTGAACTTCATCGAGTAATACCGATCAGGAGCAAGTATTGGAGCTACTTGAAATATAAGTACGGGTAAAAGTGAACTGTTCCAATTTTTCCTCGTATGACCCCAAGCTTTTCCTGTAGACCTCGGTTTGTCATCTTATAAATATTTATCGTACATCTAACCTTATAAAATAAAAATTATCACTTCAGTCATTGTTTACACTCTTTCATTATGATAATTACTGGTTTAAGAAAAATATCAACTCAATTACGTGCCATAAAGTTATAAATGTAGTCGATACTTCCAATCAATATGATTTGTTTTTCAATATAATCACAGTTTTGTTTTGTTTAAAAACAGCTATTAAATATACCTTGTGTCAAATCGATTTGAGGAGTGATGCTTATAAGAAACAATATATTTGGCCAATCAAAGTGAGGATATATTTACATTTTACGAAGAATCCAAAACATAGTAGATCTTCCAGTGAAATGTTGAGATAGCTTAACTACTTTCTGAATTCAAATTATCCAGTAGATTTGAAGTATGAAATACCACTTGTGACAAATAGCGGTTTTGTAAATCTTACTAGTCTTATTATGCGACTGTCAAGCCCCGACGATTATGTACGGTGGTGATGAAAAATTTTTGGCGACTAGTTTGTACTGTGTTGTTGAGTTATTATTGTGCTAATTTAAGAAAAAAATCATATAAAAAGCAAAAATTACATCGCACGGTAAAATCTGTGTAATACAAAATAAGGTTTCTTTAGCACAAAATAGTAAAAGGAATAGTTAATGAGTTATGTTCAGCCCCTGAAAATCAATAAAAGTATTCTCAACAACATGCGATAGAATATCTATATGCACGGATTCAAGTAACTGCTTCCTGTAAGCAAATGTTAGCAACCATCAACAGAACCATGACGTAATCCTGAGCCAAACACAGCCATATCGTCTGCGGCCTGGCAACGTGTAAACGGTAATATTAAGTAATTAATTTGAACCTCTAACTAAAGTCAAACGGTAGAGCCGCAGACAAAGAACGCTGAAGAGCGTAGAACATGATCATAAGGGACTTCAGTAAGTTCAGGAAAATATCCCAAAAATTATCCTGTTAAGCCTAATGCTATCCTTGGACATGAAATGGTATCATCTTATTGGTTAATATTTATTTAACGTGTTATTTTCCTGTTGGCCAATATTGTACAATGTTATTTTCTATTTTGTGGCACGTTGTGGTCTGCTTGACTGGTATATAAACAAAGTATGTTTGAAATATAATGATTCATATATCCGAGGCTGAGACTTTCGTTCTGGACTCAATTGGCTGGGGTATACAGGGAAGCAGGACCAATCAGAACCTTAGGTCGTTCTACGTGTTTGCGCGTCTTTGGTCCAATCAATAATTCGCTACCCTCAATCAGCAGCATTCATTTTCCACGTTATAACAGTAGAGCAGAACAAAGAAATAACAATATTATTCAATAAAACACTTCTGAGGAATTTTCATTGTATTCTTTCCGTTACACTTGACAAAAGGATACCATGGGGTGGTATGGATTGTGAGAAAGAAATGATAATGGTTAGGGAATTGGAAATCTATGTGCTCTCAACAACATAGTTATAGGTGATGCAATTAGCTCCCACAGATAGTTACACATAGTTACTTGGGTTTCACATGACCAGAACGTGAAGAACCAAGCAGACTGCACCTGATTTTAAACAAAATCCAGACAATTCTCAGAAGACATAGTAACAAAGAGGAGGGCTGGTACAGCTTCAGATCACCAATTGACAGTGGCCAAGCTGAAATGTAAGCTAAGTGGCCTTGGACGAACGGGTAAATTTGATTCAGTCTCCCTTCAAGAACCTAACCATTTATGTGGATGCGAGATAGCCCTCAGAAATGAATTCGAAGTCTTAGAAGATTTACCAGCAGAAGAGATTATTGTGGATAATAACTGTTAAAGAATCAAAAGCTTTGGTGTCCTAGGTGGTTGACTGCAGGAAGCATCGGTAGAAAGCGTGGACCCCAATAAGTACTCTGGATAAGGCCTAAGAAAGGGAGAACAAAAAGACAGAAGTCAACAGTAACCGGACCAAAGTAGAAGAAACCACACCATAAGTCGAATAAACGGAAACAAACAAACGAGTGAAAACATGGATCATAGTATACAAACGGAAATATACGAAAGATATGGTGAGAACAACAGAAATAGGTTTGAGAACAAGAACTATAGTTTAGTAATATGAGAGCGAAAAAGCTAGCAGAAAAGTCTGCTGAAACATAACAATCATAGAAGTCATGCTAGTAATGGAAGTTCAACGGCGACCATCTAGCTAACGTCGAAGCCACACCCCACGGTTAGATATTGGCATGGGCTAACTTTTCGTCGAATCCAGGTACTATGGCTACCTTGATGGCCGTACAACACAAACGAAGTTATTACAAAAATACAATAGAAAGAGAAGACTAAAGAAAACGAGTACAACCAGCGCTGCATGGGCCTCTCAAGTGAGTGCAATCGTCTAAGGCGTGCTGATTGGCTTTGTCTTAACAAGGACCGATGAACTGTTCGATATTCAGTTTTCTGACTGCCGGATGATTTGGCTAGGTTCCAGCGGTATTTAACTGATCTTACAAAGCAAATGAAAAAATGCACCACGTTCTTTACAAGATAACGGTTTGCACTTAGCCATATGGAATGAAAAACACAGTGGGGGATTCTGTAAAAACTCTTTATAGACGGCCTATATCTCAGAAAATTGCACAAAAACTCCTCGGAGATGACTCTGGATTAGGCCACATCAATTGCAAATGAGACATAAATATCGTTAATTTCCTGACCTCAACTAATAATAGATTTTTACCTTAAGAGTGCAGTATGATAACCAGAAGTATTTGAATTGATGTGTTCACTAAAAATTCCAAGAAAAATGAAATTAAAAACGGGTGAAACGTGACGAGGTCAGTTAAATGTATTATATTTGGAATTTCTACTGTGAGATCCATTTTGAATATTTTGTGTGTTTGTGAAAATCCCTCCATGTATATACTTGCAATTTGTTCCTATTGATCCCCTTAGTTGTACATTCTTGTCTTTTGATTACATTTGAATTTTTAATACTTGTATTTTTTATTATAGTTTTTGTTTTTCTTACGCATTCACTAAGTTTGTGTTTCTTCCCGAGCTGCATCTGTGTTGTTTTACTTGACACTTGTTCTTGGCAGTAGCCATATTGATTTGCTCCTCCTTTTGTGGGTAGAATAACGTTCATTTGTTGTGACCGGTAATTTTTTCTCATCTTTCATCAACTTTATTTATTGTAATTTAGATTTGATTGATTAAACAATTATTGGTTGAATAGCCGGGTGGTAATATTTGTTTAGGTAACGATTTATATATAAATTCATGATGAATTATAGGACCGCTATTTACCCGATTACTTGTTTTGATTTCGACGGGAAAGGGCGCGTGTCTAACGTACCTGGAAGGCTATTCAGCAGTCCAAACCATAGTTTGGATTTTACACCTACTAATCATGCAATCAAGTTATCGGTTTGTACAAATAACATATTATGATAGTTAGAAGAATACGAATTAATGTGGTAACAAAAAATTCCAGAAAT